AGGGTGATACTTGAATACTTAACCCAAAACATCAGGGCCCTGTGAATAAGGAGCAGTGGCTTTACTGCAAACTGCTTACTCAGTTCTCTTTTTAATTTCAGATCAAAAGAAGTAGCCCCAGACATGACTAGTTTGTTTGGTAACATTCACGACAGCTGGGGCAATTGATGATGTTTGTTTACTTTGTATACAATACCTACAACTTTGTTATTGCCAAAAAAAGGACTGAACTTACTTAAAAGTTGGCTCATTTTTTATTTCAAGCTGATGCCTGGTTGAGATGAACTAGCTCAAACAGGCCTGTGTAATTAAAGTAGTTCATAGTAGAACTTCCAGTTCTATGTGTACAGATAGGGAGCAAAAACAGAATTACTGACTTGATGTAGAGGACTAGAGTTCCTTCACATCTCAGTGGGACAATAGCTCTACAGTTAGCTCTGACACTGAGTTGACTTGGAATTGTGAAGGTTCTAAACAGCAAGTGTTGAACTTGCAACAAAGCAGAATTATATTATGGGAATTTTGTTTGAACTATTGTGCTACTTACACAAAAACAATCAGATGTATTTTCAGCTCATGAATTCTGTTGGAAAAAATCTTTATGTGAGATGTCACTTTGCCAGCTTAATGTTGTCGCCACAACATGATCAAATTCACGCAGCATAGAAAACTGGCAAAAAATGGGATGTTGTGTTATAGAAGAGTTAAATGACTAAACATCTTAAAGACCGAGAAACTGTTGGGTCTGTCAACCTAAAAAGGAGGTGATTTTTTGGGGGGTCTCTAAAACAAAATCATAGTAGTAAAAACCTAATTATTCAACTAGTTTAATAGAAGTACAAGATTTTATTTCATTGTTTTGATTATCTGATATCATTACAAATCCATATTTATTTCCGCCCAAAAGACTATATAGTCCAAAACTTTTACTTAATGAGCAGACATAACACAGGAAGTCAAAACAAGATATACACATACACACACACATATATATCTCAATATACATTTAAACAATGCAAAAGAGGTAGTACCGTTAGTTAAGAAATATATAACGTGCAGTAAAAATACTAAGACAATTCAGATCTGCCTTCACTGCAACTCTTCCAAGTATCACAAGAGGCTATAGAACAATTAATTCAGCATAAATCCAAATTTTAAAATGTATTTTGTTCCCTTATATGATTGTACCTTGAGTTTTCTAAAAGTGATCCTTCAGGTGACTAGCTGAAGGGGATGGTATTTAGTTCATAAGTTAAATACTATGGCTCTAACAACTCAGATAATGAGCTTTGAACCATTATTTATTACAGGAACCAGACTGTATGATTTAGGATGTAAGATTAGGCATGAACATCAACTATTTAACCTGATCTCTTTTTTTCTTTCTCTAAAAAGACCCCACTGGATAACTGAGTTCTCTTTTGGAGGGATGCCTACCCTATAGGGGGAAAAACACACAAAACTAGATGGATTTTATTGTTGACCTTAAAAAAAACTCCGGTGTAGTCTTGAAGTTCTATTAGACATTAAGTAACTGCAGTATTTAGGTTTTATCAGGGGAGAAAAAAAATGAACTTGATCTCTACAGAAACATGATCCTAAAAGTACTAAGAGAGGAAGATGGCAAGACTCTGTAAGATAGCTCCCCAGTCCACATTCAGCAGCATCCTAGCATGCCTCAGATGCCCAGAGAACAAGCTGCTAAAAAGCAGGAGAGCCAGATCATAGAGCCAAAGCTCCAATACTTCACCAACTCTGTATACTCAGAATAGAGGTCTGTGTGACCACAAAAGCAGAGTTCTTTCAGAACTTCGTCAACCAGACTGACTATTTCTTAAGATTTTTAAGCTGTACTTACAGCAACTGAAAGACTTTGCTCTGTGAATACTGTTATAGGACAGAAGAAAAAATACAATTAAGAAGGATTATCAACTGTTGAGACTTAAATGTAAAAAAACAAACAGACCTAGACATCAGTGGATGCACCTTCCATCTGCATTTCCAGATCTAACCAAGGTGTCTATAGTCAGAAGATATACACTAGGCAGATTCAAGAGTCTGAGGAAGGCTACAGTGAAAGAAGATGATACCTTTTTTTTGTAGGATTGTTTTCCAGATTTCCTGGTTTCCTGTATTGTTTAAGCTCTGGCAGGCCAGCAAGAAAAAAAAAAATCCAAGCCAAACAGCAATGCAACGAATCTAGGGAAGATGCTGTAGTATATTGTAGGTGACATTTATCTGATATACTCCTCCTCAGAGATGCAGGACATATCTTCATCTGTGCTTTCCTCCAAATCTGGCAAGTTGCCCCAGAGCAATACATTCACACCTGGTGGGAAGGAGGTTAGAAGACAAAGGCGAAAAAAACCCTATTTTGGGATTCTGACCTCATTTTTAAGTTGGACAACTGTCTATTTTCAGAGAAAATAACTACTTTAATCATTGCAAAGCCTGGTAAGTTCACGTCCATGATAAATATAACTAGACTATTTCCTGTTTTTCTTCCAAAGTGATCTTGTAAATGTTATTGTTTACAACATAGTTCCAAGAATAAGTCCCTGCCCACATATGTATTTATATAGCTAATTCATGTAGCTATTGATAATCCATTCATGGCTGATTTATTTTTAAATGCATTAATCTGAAACACAGGTGACACTGAAAAGTTTAGACAATAAGTTACTCCTATCTGCAAGGAGGAGAAATGATTTGTCAGAATGCTATGCATTCCTGAGGACTCAAGGCAAATTATGCTAGACACATGGCATCCGAACAACACCTAGCTAAAGAAACTAGCTAGCATGAGCTGTAACTTCAGCTTGAGCTACTGAGGACTCAGTTATATAGGGTCAAAGTGACAACATGACTCACCCAAAAAGAGTGTCCATCGGACAGCTGCCTAATAGCACAGTAAAACTATACATACCGCTATAAATAGCAGCTGGTGCCTGTGTTTATAGTAGTTATAATATTGCTTCAGAAAATCCTGACTTCTATCCACAAAAGGGGTAGGTTACATTTTCTGATGAAGATAAATTTCCACTTAGAAATTTTCATTTACAAAGTAGCTACAGCTACCTCCCCCAAAGTAGTTTGCTAGATTAGCAATACAAGTAACGTTTGCCTTATGCCTCCATATGTTACACTCCTGCCATATGCTTTAACTATATTGAGATGCCTCATTAGAAGGAGGACTCAGAATTCAAGATTTTAGGGAAGAGAAGGAAACATATGTGTTCCTTACCAGAAGAGTCTAGTCTGTTGATGCCAAAGACTGCTTGGCTATGAAACATCCAGAAGTGGCCATTATTACAAGACAGCAGGCAAGGTTTGCAGGGAGAAATCACATGATAACCGACAATGTTACCACTAGAAAGACAAGTGAAATAATGAGCAACACAAATGCCTGATGAAAAGGTAGATGTCGTTGGCTTTTCCAGCTCAAACTAGTAAATAGCCACGGTACCAGACCATTATGTAATACTTCTATTTTGATTAAGTTAAGGGAACATGGTTAAACAAGCATCTTAAATATTTAGGGAACATCTGTCAGGAGTTACAGAATATCTAAGTTTTAGATCTTTGGCATAGAGAACCATTTAGTAACCTAAATTGTGTAATCCAGATTAGTTTACATACCAACAAATGGTGTTGTATTTTTTTTTTTTGGAAGGCCCATGATTCCGTTGGAATCAATGTAGAAGTTCATCATGGACATAAAATCCATCTATACAGAAGCACGGTGCACAGGAGAGTATCAGTAGTAGGAGTAATGAGACTGAGAATATCGAAACCTTATCTACTCTCCTAGGTTGAAACCTAGAACAACTGTTTTTCTACTTTCTCAGTCATGCACTCTAGTGAGATATTTCTGTTTCTCTACTTCTGTCTAAAAAATAAAATACCCTGTTCCTAGCACAACCCCCCACTGTTTAAATCTGAACAAGGTAAAAGTCTTGATTATGAAGCTGAAAAGATTGTCTCAAATAACTGTGAGCTATCTGAGAGTTGTTGTTTTTACTCTTAAATATCAGGCATTAATAAAGAGGATAAAAGAACTGCAAGAACTTTGGTGACAGCATGTTCCATCTGCTAGCAACAACTAGATCTGCCAAGAGGATGTTCTATTAATTAGAATATGAGTAACTACTTCTTGCTGCGGCCTTATTCACACAATTATCTCGGTGTTGAAGCAGACATTTAATCAGGCAGGTGGCATGCAAGCTTTCCCATCTACTCAGACTACTGACAAGGTTGTCACATTACCACTTGGGACTTGCACAGAAATAGACTGGCAGCCATGCCCAGAAGTAGTGGGCTGAGTTTCTATCAAGCAGCATTAAATTTGAAATAGAGTATGCAATCTGTTCATTCATCCCTTAACTCTTGTACTGGAGCCGTCTACAGGGAGAAGGTTAAACAGTATTGCGGCGTGCTCGAGGAGGTGTTAGTGTCATTGAATGGCGTTCTTACCACTTTAAGCATGCGATGTTCTTCAGTTTGCATTTGCAGATCTCAGTAAAATAGCAGCTTCCAATGAAATCAACAGTACTAGATGGGAAGAAAGTAAAAATGCAGAAGTTGAGATGTGGCTATGATTACAACTGTAATGTTTTGATAATGCAGGTCTGAAGTCACAACAAAGTGATGGTACCATTACAGTCTTGTGTGGGGTTTTTTTTTTAAACTTTCCTAAGACCAGCCATACTCATATGGAAACAAAAAGAGACCCAGGTATCTTTGCACAAATATATGGTAAGTGCTCTCACATTAGACCAGAAAGCACACCTTCTCTTAGTACTTACTAATGCCTGTATGCTGGGGCCCTGCTGCTGGCTGCATGGTACTATCAGCCAGAAATCTGGCTGCATGGCACTATTAGATAGACATTGCCCTCGTTCCTGGCAAACCTCAGCTAAGACTACTGAACAATAGCTTAAAGGCTAAGACATTTAAAAACGAAACCTTTGATTTCTTATCTCCTTTTTAACCCATATTTTCTTATTAACATGTTATTTTGCAACCTTATTTCCTTAGTATTCAAATATTGTTATGGGAAAGCAACACGCAACCGACTCGGAGGACAGTCGTTCTGGAACCAGTGCAAGATCAGGTTTGTTCTGTTTACAGACATTTATTTCAAATTCTAATCTTTGCTTAAGGAAGTTGCTGGAGGAACCCCCCGTGGCTTCCTGAGCCTACGTCTTCCCCATGAATAGATTAAATTATACTTTTGATTTGCCTGACAAGGGACAGCCTTGCTCTCGCTGTGGCTTCCCCAGGGCTGAAGGGCAGCCAGGAGGAATTGGAAATGGAGGAGCGGGTTGAATCGTGTGCTTTTGGGCCGTTTTCCTGGTGACAGCAGATTTCGAGAGTGACCTTTAGGGCCCC